TTGCATTTACAAAAGGAAGAAACTGAGAATACTCTCGTATGCACTTAGAACATTGCCTTAAGCATCTTTCCTTCAATACAAAATAAAAATATAATGTTGTAAAGAAAAAATATCCAGAAGGTAGTACAGAGGACCAAAGACAGAGATTACCAGCATAGAGCAGTTTTTATCTGTACAGCTGTGTACATGGTATATTCACCTCCTGCAGAGGTACTCCTCTTGTAAGCTGCCTGGGGCCAGGTGGCAGGGTCTTCTTGTCTTTGACAAGAAGCCCAGTACAGGCTCTAGCACAGTGCTTTGACAACAGCAGGTGTTCAATAATATAATATGATGAACAGGGGGATGAACAGATGAATAAATTATGAAGGTGGCCAAGTCAGGTGCTGTCACATGGAAACAGTGGCATTCATAGCACAAGGATGTCTAACCTTCCAGCCCCTTACTATACAAAAACAGAGCTTCTCAACTTTTAAGGCCCTATTACACCTTTTGATAACAATCTAGTCCTAAGTCACACACACCTTCTCCTCTGAGTGGAGAAGCCTAGGCCAGTGGCTCTCAATGGGGGATGATTTTGCCCTCCAGGAGACACCTGGAAATACCTGAAGACATTTTTGGTTGTCACAATGAGGGAAGGGGGCAACTGGCACCAAGTGGGTAGAAGGCCTGGAATGTTGGTAAACCTCCTACAATGCATAGGACAGCCCCCACAACAAAAATTGATCCTGTCCAAAATGTTAATAGTGTAGAAGTTGAGGAACCCTGTCATATGCTTAAGGAGGCATATTCATGTCTTTGACCTTTTCCCCTTGAACTAAACTCCTTTCTCAACTATACTCCCTAAGCAGAACACAGCTTCCTAAGCAGAACACAGCTATCCTAAACCAATGTTATCACTATAACGATTAATGGGACAAATCTAAGAACACTGATAGCAGTGCATATTTGTACTTTACAGTTTGCAGGAATGTCTTCTAATAAATTCTCATTTGCTTCTCTCAAGAATCTTGGTAGTATCTGGGGGAGGTATCATCATATTTGTTTTAGAGCAAATAAAACTAGATAAGCTAACCACCGTCTCTATGAATTGAAGGAGGTAAAAAAATTGAAGCTCAGAAACAGTAAGTGACTTGTTCAAGATCACACTCATGAAGCAGCAGAGTGGTAGAGATACCCCAAATCAGGCTTTGTGATAGCCCTACCCCTCTGTCTTTTACCACGGTGGTGGCCCAATGGAAATACAATGTGAGCCACACGTTATTTAAAATTTTCTAGTAGTCACATAAAAAGTAAAAAGAAGCAGATGAAATCAATTTTTATAATATATTTTACTTAACTGAAATATATTCAGAATATATATTCATAATATTTATAATATACAACATACAAACTTATTTCTGTAACCAATATGTAAAATTATTCATAGAATGGTTTACAATTTTTGTACTGTCTGGTGTGTATTTTAAACTTAAATCACATCTCATTTGCAGTTAGCCACATTTTATTTTTTAAAATCTTTTAAAAATATATTTATCTATTTATTTTGAGAGAGAGAGAGAGAAAGAGAGAGTGCATGCATGCAAGCGGGAGGAGGGACAGAGAAAGAGGGAGACAGAGGATCCAAGCAGGCTCTGTGCTGAGAGCAAAGCAAAAGAAAACTTAGGAACTAAACAATGTAGATTTTCTTACGACTGCTCCAAGAATAGCAGTTTTTACTTATATTCCATGTCCTCATGGAAGATGTTCTCATCAATACATTCCTGTCTCTTGTGTGGTAAACATCATGTCTCAGTTAGGTGGACACAGCATATTACACAGGCAATTTAAGGGAATGAGGCTTCTGTGTTCTGGCCAGTTAAAGATGTGAGGATGTAGAGAAAGAGAACACAGCATTTGTGATCTATTAGTTTTGAGCCTCATGTCATGTGCCTATAGCATATAAAATCTAACCCTGACTATAACCCCGGGAGGTCTGTCTTTTCCTCTTTGTGGGAAATGGACCATCAGAGAGATTAAGTAACATGACTAAATTCCTAATGCTAGGTTTGGAACCTAGTTTCCATTGATTGTGAAGGTAGTTAGTGGAGGTCTTTTCTTTGTGCTAGGATGGCAGTTTATCCCGAGTGAATTCTAAAGACTCTGAAAAATAACTTGATAAAGCTCCCCAGAGCTCCAAATTAATTGCAAAATAGGAAAAGTCATCTTTTCTTTTCCTTCATGTTTGAGATTCATAAAAGGAGGAGAGAAAGGCAGGCAACTAAAACGATTCCCAAATAGATTCTCTGAATTGGCCAAAACTGTAATCACTAATGAGTTTATGGTGTGTCAGGCCCTATTTCGAGACTTTACCATACAGAGCAACTCATCTGATCTTCACCATAACCCCATGAAGTGCTATTGTTTTCATTCCTGTTTTATAGATGAGGTGCACAGAGGATAAATCACCTACCCAAAGTCACCCAGCTGGTAAGTGGAAGAGCCTGGACTGAAAGCCAGGTGTCTGGCTCATAGCTACAATGCAGAGTGCCTCACTAAGATGCTAAAGATCAATCTAGTAAACATCTATAGTGAGATTAGAGTTAAACTAAATAGCCTGTTGCATGAAAATGTCATGTTTCTGTAGAGTCTTTGAAAACTCCCAGTTGATTCAAAGCTCTTTCAAGGGTCTGAACCTCCTACTCTTTTGGGTGAGGACCTATGATGGAAACTCCTATACTGTCTTATTAATTTTAAGTACTATAATGTCCCATTACAAACAAAAATCTAGTCTCTCTGAGCAGTATGTCAGAGAAATCCACTCTAAATGCTTCTCCAAGTGCATGTTTTTATCTCGGTCAACCTGAATTACTCACCTAAACGTGGGATAAAGAAAGCACTACCATTATAGGTAGGATGTGAGGACACTGGTTCTGACACCTTAACCCCTGACTGACTGCCAGGGTTGGTTTACTTCATTCAGAACCCAGCTGCCCAAGCTGACTGCCTCTTTTTTCCTCACTGCTCTGTGTCCTCCAAAAGCATCCTGCCTTGTGTAAATCAAGCTGTCCATGGATTTCATAGGAAACTCACTTGTGACAATGGAGGCAAACACCTCCGTTGGTTCAATTGCTGGTCTATACCAAAGGTTCTATGAAAAACCTTTGTGTCATTTACCATTATACTCTCCCTCTGCCCTTACAACTAGCACAGCACAGCAAGTTAGATATAATGGCTCTGTTTACAATACAAGATGGTTAAGATAATAACAACAAGAAATGTATTACTTCTTCAAAAGATAAAAATCATGACTATGACTTTTTTTGCTGAAAAGCCTTAAATTAATTTTGAACATTCAGGCAATTATTGGTATTATGTTCTTTGACTTATAATATTAAAATACTACAAATTAAATGCTGAAAAAGGTGGAGAGTGAAGAAGTCAAGTGGAAAAAAACTAGAAAGAACTAAAGAAAAGCTAAGGTATGACTACAACTAGTGGGAAGGCAAAAAGAGACCACAAATTTAAGGAAGCATTGTTATTTTCATTTGTTTTCATTGTTGTTTTCATTTAACAAGCAGAAGGCTCATGGTGCTGATGGATTTCAGTGCTAATGGGGACATAATGCAAGTATTTACCCAAGAGAGAAATAGTCTGTTTCCAATCTTGATCACTGCCCCCCTCCCCCAACACACACACACACTCACACACACACATACATACACACAAGGAATACAATTCTGGTTACCAAAAGCCTCAGATATGCAGGCCTAAATCATACAGTAGTTCTTCCATAAACTGTGTCTGCAGAACACAATAAACATGAAACAGGCAGATGAAAAAACTTAACTGGGTACACAGGATTATGCCTGACTGAACTCTTCTTCCCAACCTTGAGTTCTAATACTCCCCCATCCCACTTCACACTCTAGCTGAAAGAACCAAACCACTGCTGACCCCAGTGCACAAAGAAAAAAAGAAAAGAAAGACAGCCACATTGTTATACCCACCAACTATGAAAGCTGAGTCTGTGTGGAGATGTGGGTGTGTGGAATACAATGGAGGCAGATCATTTAAAGGCCTATGAAGAGGTACTTATCTTTGGTGAGGACTTTTAAAAGTTTTCTAAGTCTCTCCTTTAAACCAGTAGTACCAGATCACAAAATCCTTAACCTTGTGGGTGACATGAACCCCAGGCAACTCTCAACTACAGGGCTAAAACCTGGTATCTTCCATTGTCAGGAAAAACACAACCTGAGAAGGGGGTTCTGGGGAAACTGGAGAGTAGAGGGTGGGGGGCAAAACAGAGACAAAAAGAAGAGACCAATACGGATTTTCTGTGAGGCAAAATCAGCACAAACAGCCAAACAGGTTGTCCTTGCTGCAGAAGCCATATTAATCCAGGATAAACCAAATCTGAATCTGTTTTCTCAACAACTCCCTCCCCTGCCAGGTAACACCTCAGGACTTAGGTCTCTGTCAACTTCTTTGTCCACATGAAGAAAAAAAGAAGAAGAAGAAGAAGAATATGGGAGAAACAGGAATTAAATAGCTACTCTAGTTTACTAATAATGTGGGTGGTGATGCTTCAAGAGTCGACTCTGGGAGAGAAGGGGAAGGGAGAAAAAGAAACCACAACCCCTCTGAGCTCAGCTGAGGTCTCCGCCGAACAAGTGTCAACGCTTTTAAAGAGCACGGCTTGCTCTCAGTCTCAGAGCACACAGAATGGCAGGGTAGGTGCGGAAGACTGCTTACCCAGAAGCCCGCAGGAAGCTGGAGACGGGGGCACCTCAAAAACAAAAACATTGCGAGCACCACGACAGGCGCGCCGCCCCGCCCTCCCGCTCCCACCGGGGGAAAGCGCTCCCGGTGTTAAAGTCGCTGTGGAACAGAACCTGGCCAGACAGGTCGGAGCGAGAGCAGGGCACTCGTCGAGGGCTCTCTCCTTGCCCAGCAAACACCAGCCTCGGGGAAGGCTGAAAAGTGTAAGCAAAACCAGAACAAATGAAAGAAAGACACGTTACCTTGTTCATCCCATTCCCCATGGTGGCTGAATGCGAACTCTAGCACCCTTGGTAATGAGGTCGCAGGCTCACTAAAGGCATATTACAACACGAGGAGGAAGGAGCAGGTGGGGCGGGCGGGGGAGGAGGCCCTGGGGAAGAATTTCGTGCTCGCAGTATAAACAACAATAATAATAATCAGGGAGATCCAGGCCACTGGGTTTGCTCCAGGGAGCCGGCCTGGACTCAGGCTTTCCGCTCGTCCGACCCGGACTTCCCGGACGAGCAGAGCAGAGGCACTGGCGCCCTTGCCGGGAAATGGTCTTGCTTTGCCAGTGCACGCCCCTTGTGCGCCCCAGCGCCCCTCCCTGGCCGGACCGGCTCCCTGGGACTTGTAGTCTGGCTCCCGGCAGCGGCAACCGCTCGCTCCGCCCCGCGCGGCCTACAGCTCCTTGGCGGCGGGAGCCGAAACCCAAAGCGCACGCGCAGCGCAAGCCTCGGGGGCTGCTGCGGCGCGCGTTCCGGGATGTAGACTGAAGGGCGGGGGCGGGGTCTGGTGGTCGCGCAGGCACCGCCTCTACCCGGCCGCAGCGCGTCTCTAGGCCAGGTCCCCCGAGATCCGGTCACCAAAACTCCCGCAGACCTTTTCCCCTGGGGCGACTCGGGGGGCCTGTTACCAGTAGTCACCACCCTGCCTCGACTCCCTCGGTGAATCAGGTGCTAACCTTGGTCTTCGCGGCTCCCCTGCCTGGGTTTTCTGAGTGCGACAGATTTAGGCCCGGGTTGGGGGATTCCTATGGCCCTGCCCCACCCACGGAGACCGAGAAGGCTCACCCGGTGGGAAAAGGTGGGCTCAATGACTCATCTCTGGGATGACTTAACCTCCCTACCCTGGGGGAGCAGATGGCGGGATCTCAGACCTCTTACCGTGGCTTTGGACGACTAGTGTGTGCCCATCTTCAGATTGTAAACTGACTGTAGTAGGTGCATAGTTGTGTTAATATAATTGCTTCTGGAAAGCCCCTGTCCTTGCTATGCAACGTAGTAATGTCTGCATTATGATTCTGTCTAGAGTGGAACACTTTCTAAGCTGTAGCAGAATTGTTTTGAGAATTCTGTCACCCCTACTAAACTCTTAATTTTCTTCCCTGGGGATGAAATCCTTGAGGTAGAGGTTTCTCAGTTTTATTGGTATATCTTCAGCAATGCTCTGCACACAATAGGTGCTTAAATGTTTGTTAAATGAACATATGCATCAATCTAATATGGCCAGGCTCACCCCTGATGACCTCATTTAAGCTGCTCCTTCTTGCTCACAAAGTTACAGCCACACTGGCTTTCTGTGTGCCTCTTGAACTTGCCAGGCTGAACCTTGCACTCTATATGGACTGTGCCCCCTACACAGACCTAGCTCTTTGCAAAGCTGGCTCTGGTCTCAGCCTAAGTGTCACCTTCTCAAAGAGGCTTTTCCTGACCACCCAATCTAAAGTAGATCTTTCAAGTCACTGTCATATTACCTTATATTATTTTCTTCACAGCACTTAACATAATTGGACATTATCATATTTGTTTTCTTACATTTTATCTGTCTCACTAGAAAGCAGCTTCCAGATGAAAAGGACTTGGTGTCATTCATTACTATAGTCATGTGGCCTGAGACAATACCTGGCACGAAATAGGGATTCCATAGATATTTGCTGAATAAATTAATGAATTCTAGGGGACTGAGAAGACAGCAGTTATATTCTGAGGGATGCTGATACTTTGAAAAGAACTTCCAGATTCCATCTGAGCCATTTCTCTCCTTATATTCCATATCTTCTGGGCAATAGCAGGGACCAGAACCCCACATGTAGGAAACCCCCACTCAGTGTACACCCATACTGGCTCCCATAGGTTGGATAGAACCCAGATCAGGCATCATCCTTCCTAACCCTTGCTTCTGGAGTTTTCCTTCTCTACCACCTTCACCTCTCCTCTCCACCTTCTAGTCACTTGGAAGTCACTCCTATCCCTCTGCTCCTCACAATCGCTATTTTTACTGACTTCCTGCTCATCAATAACAAAGCATGGTTAACGGACTGCCTGGGGAATCCCAACAACAACCTTTGTTCCTAAATCTCAGAGTGATCTTGGGCAAGATAATCAACTTTTCTGAACATTTTATTTCTCCTTAAAATGAGAGCATTTGACTGAATTTTTGAAGATACTATCTAGCAATAAATGAACTACTTCTTTTTCCCTCTACTTTACTGATGTTGTTGTTCTGAGAGTCAGATGAACTTTGAAGAACACAACCAGTTCATAAGTTGGTATTTTCCCATAAATGGCAGATCCATACCCAATCCTTCTTCTATAATCTATTTGGAATATTTCCTTTCTCTTATTCATTTCTTACAACCTCTCCTAGGCTCAGAACCTGCAATGATTATCACCTAACAGTCAAAAAGGGTGCACTGCCCTGTATTCAGTGTGGCCCCACAAGATCCACATGCCCAGAACTCATTTCACAATTGCAAGTTTTTATTTTTGGTTAAATGAGAAAATAGGAGGCCATTAACATCAGAAATCAGAAGAATCAGATTTTTAAAATATATTCTTGTGCGTTTGTGAGGGGGGAGGGGAGACTATCTGCCTGCACTCCCCCATCCTACCATAGAACCTAACCCTATTTCTCTTCATCAGCACACAATAATTAACAGTTTGTCATATCTTGCAAGTTTGGGGCTAAAGAAATGGAAAAGGGAAAGTCTTATCCAATTTGGCCACACATCCTGGTTTTCTCTCTTTTCATTTTCGTAGCAACACTTCAGAGATTTTCAGGTTCAGTTTTCATGCTGAACAGGTGACCTTCCCATTTCCAAGTGCCTTCCTGTCTTCTTTTATTCTTTATAGTTCCTGATTATAGAAAGAAGGGAAGATAGAAGACTCCTAGATGAAGCTGGCAAGTTTCACATCTGAAGTAGAAACTATTCATTTACATTCTCTCTCATAAAATTTTTAAGTCATCATAAGCCTAGAGGAATTTCATTCCATGTAAGTTTTTTACTTCCACTTTCCTTCTTGTCATTTTCCTGTCTCTCAACACAATCAAAACCACAAATTTTGGTAATGATTCCAAATAAGTAAAGCCTTCACATGTGCACAAGAGAGGAGTAGTCTGTTAAGCTGAGTCTGTACACATGTGGTGAAGGACAACCAGTTAATGGTGTTATTTAGTGAGTAATAACTGAACATTAAGATAGTAGTACGCAAAAGCCCACAAGCAGAAGCTCAATCATTATAGTCAACCAAATCATTAGGAGTGTTACTGATATTTTCAGAGAATTGAGATAAACCTCTGCCCAAGTGAAAAGGAATTATGTAATCTTCCTTGGTCTTCCTTGGTCCAGACTTTCTCAACCTCAGCACTGCTGATATTTGGGGTTGGATTTTTTTTTTTTTTTTTTTTTGCTTGTGGGGCTATCCTGTGCATTGGAGGCTATTTAGGAATACCCCTGGTCTCTATTACTATATGTCAGTAGCCTTCCCTCAGTTGTGACAATCAGAAATATCTCTAGTCCTTGGAGAGCAAAAGGCACTTTCTGCCATTATCATCTGAATGATGGGGCCACAAGGATGAGATCTTTTAGAGATGAAATCTCTTTCTTTCTGTCACTCTTCCTCTCTCTCTCTCTTTCTCTCACTTTATAACAAGTTAAATCTATGCTATTAGATAATGTTAATCCTCCACAGAATTCTTAGGCTATGCTGTAAAACAAGAACAATCTAAGAACAAGAAGTTGAGATGAAGAACTAATATAACCAAAGCATTACTGAAAGTAAAAGCAAGCTAAGAAATTGTGGAGAGAAAAAAGATGGAGCCTAGGACTACTAAGCAAGAGCACAAAACATTTTCTTTGTTTCTCCAAAACTGTCCAGAAAGAGGGTACCCAGTTGACTGTTTGGGGTCAACCTCATCCTGACCATAAGGGTAGGCTCCTCAATGACTTCAACCTTTAAAAGGCCACCAATTTCCAGCCCTCCAAGTAGTCTTCTGATTATGAACTTGGTGTCCTCCTTCCCTTATGAGGTTCGGAGAGCCCAGACCTCAGAGCACAAGCATTTGGTGAGATCAGGGAAGAACAGTTAGAGGAATGGGCGTGCAGGTAGGTAAGCAGGGCAGAGAGATGGGGTTGGAGAATATGGGAGGAGGCCAGTGGAGAGATGCTATCAGACATAGTTGGGAGCCAATAAAGTCTGCTACATGTAGAGTTCTTGGGAGGGGTGGCAGAGGTAAGGCCAGTGTTGGAGGAATGGGGTTATCAAGGAGTTTATAGAGTAGACTATCAGGCAAAGGAGGAAATAAGAGCCCTGGTTCCTAAAAATCAAGTAGAAGGTGACACTATTGTCAGCTTACAAGTCATAACATGGATGCATGTGTATTGTGAGTACACCTAACTTCCAAAATTCTAAGCTTCATGAGGGCAGGGACTTGTTGTCATCAATCTTTGTATCTAGTACCTATAATAGCTCCTAGTATGTGGGGAAACTGTCAGATTTTTTTTTAACTAAAGAGAGAAAACAGCTGGGACGTTTTTGCATTTGTCATGTGAGGTTCAAGAATAATTCATTCTTTTATATGCTAGATACTCTATCAATACCTCATCTACCTGTTTTTCCTTTTTTAGAATAGTTTCCATGTGGGATAGCTCTTTGTACTCTGTACTCTTGTACTCTGTCGCTTGAGTTGCAGCCATAGCTGTAGTTGGTGGAGCCCAGTACTTTCTGTAGTTTTGCCCTTGATATCATGTTGTTCTTTGAGCTTTGATTAAGAAACCATTCCTGGTTTATGAATATCCATCTTTCAGGTTGGCTATGGTTATTTTCCTTGTGTGCAATTGACCTATGTTCTTCCCTATATCTGCCAAGAAAGGTCTATCTGAGACAACAAACAGGTTCTTTAAAATCTTCCATTGTCTAGGGGATCCTGGGTGTCTCAGTCAGTTAATCCAACTCTTGATTTCAGCTAAAGCCATGGCCTCACGGTTCATGAGATTAAGCCCCGCATATCAGGCTCTGTGCTAACAACATGGAG